GGTCCCCAAGGGGCTCAGGGGAGTTGCCAGAGCACTGGGAGAGGACAGGGTCTGGGGTCTGTTGTCCATCACCATCCTGGGCTACTTGGGATTAGGAAGAGATATCCACCCCCCCCAAGTCCAGATGGAGCTATGGCACAAAAGGCCTCAGTTTATTCTTCTGTCAATTGGACTATAGAGGTGGGGTGTCCCTAGGGTCCCACATGCCTGTTGAAAAGTCTGTTGGCCTTGGATCTTCATCCCTGACCCACTGTGCTCCCAGTCCTGAGAAAATGATTTGTACTCTCTTGAGGTCCTTCTGAGTAGAGGACAGTCTGGGGGCTTGGGGGCCTGAGGACCTATGTTTGCAGAACATGGCAGAACACTGGGCCACTGGTCTTCAGGGTCCCCATTTGGAAGAGGTGCCAGAGTCAGTGCTCTGGCCAGTGTGAGGAGGCCTTAGGAAGGAACCAAGGACCAGGACAGGAGAAGGAAATGGGGAGAAGGTAGGTTTCTGAGGTTTCTCACATCGCCCCCAGAGCCCCCAGGTCCTGCTCCTGGGAGAGACACACAGACACACAGAGAAGACAGAGACAGAGAATAAACGCAGAGAGGGGACCAGGAGAAGTCACAGACTTTCTTCCATCAGGTTGGAAACAACATCTCATCACCATGCTCCATTCTATTCCTTAGAGTGTAGTCACACACGCCGTCCACCCTGGAGGGGAGAGAATTCCACAGGATGTGTGACTAGGATTCGGGAATTCCAGGAACCACTGTGGGGAATGCCCAGCACATGGATACAGACAAGGCCCTGGAACCCGGACCTATACCTAATGGGAGCCCCTGGAAGTCTGTGTTGCGAGAGGACAAGGTTGAAATCAGTTCACTGCAACCTTCCCATGGGGGCTGGGAGACAGGCAGGAGGAGGGTGGCTTTGCCCAGACCCCAGAGCAGATCCAGGCCCCTCTGAGCTGTGTTCTATGCCCCGTCCAGTACCCCACTCATCCTTGCATTGCCACATGTGTGTCCCAGCCTCCTGTGATAGCAGGAACATATGTGGAGGTCCACCCCTGATGGCATTCCTAGAAGTAGAAGCCAGAAGACCCAACTGTGCAGATGGGAGCCTGGGGAGGCCCTGAGAGGCACAGGGTCTGTCCATGGTCACAGTTCTGGGCATGAGCAGGAACCTGGTCTGAACCCAGCTTTGTGTTCTCACAGCGGGGACACTGTCTGCACTCAGGCCTCGTGGGGGTTGTGGGTAGGCTGTGTGAGTGTCACTATATGGATGGGGCATGGGGTAGAGGGTGAGCATCGAGAACCTGGGGGTGGGAGACCCTCAGGGGGTTCCGGTGTGAGGAAGAAGTCGGGTAAGTGGACCCCAGGAAGTAGTGACCTCATTTCCTGACAGCAGAGCCCAACAGAATTTGGAACCCAGGTAACCAGGCACCCACATTCCAGAGACATCCCCCTACCCAGCTCATTTCATTAGAGATCCTCAAAAGAACACGTTTGCGTATTGCATCCCGAAGTGTGGAGGCTGCAGGCAGAGGAGAGTGCACTCTGCAAACACTTTCCCTCACAGGGATGTCATATCAGGTCATCTCTGGTCATTTGGTCGGAAGTACAGAAAGGTGACACCATGAGTCCCCGAACCGGCCCCCAGCTCCATATGCTCTGATCTGAATGTGCAGCCCCAGGTTCCCTCCGTGTGTGTGTGTGTGTGTGTGTGTGTGTATCTGTATGTTTGTGTGTGTTTGTAAAGAAGGCTCACATGGGGTGCGCCCACCCCATACAAGAGCAGGTGGGCGAAGGGTCAGATGCCTGGTGGGCAGGTCATGTTCACACCCCAGGTCAAGGCTGCTAGGTGGGACAGGGTGTGGGGGGCTGTGAGCTCCTCCCCAAGGTTTATCCTATGTCCTACAGGTACGGGTCCCTGTCCCAGGTGTGGGGCTGTGCATGCACAGGTCTGTGTCTGATCTGGGAGCAGCAGGGGGACTGGGCAGGAGGACAGTGAGGATGGCCGGGCAGGGCTGTGATGCATCCGGGCCGGCTACCAGTCTCTGTCTTTGCAGAACATCAGGGATGATGAAACAGGAAGGAGGCTGGTGGACACCTGCTCCATCTCCCTGACACAGGGAGTGAGCATAAGGGCTCTCCAGGAGCAGGGACTGGGAACTGCCTGGGAAGGTTTCTGACACTGCTCAGGCCACTGTCCCTGGTGGTACCACACCAGACTGTGGGCCAGGACCTGGAGCCCATGGAGGCCAAGTCCGAGAGTGAGAAGGCTGGGGCTGGGTGTATGTGGGTGTCTGGGGATGGGTCGGTAGTGGGCCCCACAGGCAGGAGGTCCCAGAGGCTGGTGTGTGTCCAGGAGCAAGGACTCGGCTCAGAACACCCAGTGGGTGGACTGCAGTTGGGGAGATGTCCCGGTCAGGGTTCCTTCCTGGCTGTAGCTTCTCTGGGAGACCCTGGGCTGAGCTCTGTCTCTGCAAAGGAACACAAACATGTTCTTCATTCCAGGATCTCCAACAAAATGAGCTGGGCAGGGGGCTGTCTTTGGAATGTGGGTACCTGGTTACCTGGGTCTAGCTCTGAAGAGCCAGAGCTGGCTTCAACTTCACCCACAGCTCCAGACAGGGGGATGGTGCTTGGAGAGACCTCATTAGGAGACCAGGAGCCAGCAGGGTATCAGGCACCTGCCCACGGAGAGCCTGATGCTGTCCCAGAGGAGCTGGCGCCTGCCCCTGCCCCTGCCCCTGCCCCTGCCCCTGTCCCCGCCCCTGCCCCAGTCCCCACTCCCACCCCTGCTCCTGTCCCTGTCCCTATTCCAACCCCTGCCCCTACTCCTGTGGGACTCCCAGAGCCACATTCAGAGCCCACAGCCCTGCTCCTTGTACAACTGTCCCTTGTTCTATCCCCCCAAACCCAACAGCCCATAGGAATGTTTCGTCCCCTACCTGTATATTCTTTCTCTCTGGTACATGGTAACTGTTATTTTATCTTTCCGTGTTTTGTGTACTGTTTATTATTTGTTTTAAATAAAATTACTTGCTTTCACTTGAGCATGTCACAAACGTTAAGCACATTCCCAATGCTGTGCCACCACACCACAGAATATTGCTGTAGGACATCTCCTTCCCCAAAGGAGACCCTGAACCCAAAGCCCTCCCTGTGCATTTCTCCTCCAGCCTAGCCTCTCACAACCCCTAAGCTGCTCTCTCTCTCTGTTCCTTTTCCTGTTCTGGATGTTTCTGTATCTGGAATCACACAATATGTGCCTTTGTGTCTGCCCACCTATTTTCAAAGGGATTTGTTTTTTTCTGTTTATTTGACATAGAATTTCCCTTATATGATATTGAGACCCCCGATGGATTAGAGATGAGATGTAATCATAGAGGCCCCTTTAGGCATTAGGGGCACAATCTTGGGGTCGAGACCCCTGTTCCTGCTGGGACACCACAGCCTGACCCCAGACAGGACAAGGCTGGTTCCTCCTGTGGTCCACACAGAAATCAGGGAAATGCAGAAAGCTGGAAGACACACCACAGAGGGCAAACGCATCACTCACAACCCAAGGCCAGAGAAAAGTTTCACTTGACTGTGCTCCAAACCAGGCTCCAAGTCACTGGAGGGACAGACCAAATGCATGCAAGTCCAAGGGGGAGGATAGGCACATGGGGAGTATGTGTCAGAGATGCAGGAGCTCCCGGGGAAGGACTCTGGCAAAGGGAACACTATGTAGGTAGCGCTGGTCACCCTCAGACTGGCAGGTGTCTCGTCTGGGGACCAGCAGCCCTGGTTGGAACATGAGGAAATGGAGGTCCAATGCAGGTCCCCTGGAGAGAAGGGTGATAGGCACCCCTATCTGGGAGACCAGTGAGTAGCACCCATCCCAGGCCACAGGGTGCACCCATTTGAGGCCGTGCAATGCTCAGCCTCAGACTCAGCCCCAGAAACTCTGGCATGATTTTTCACAGATGTATCATCTGGAGTGTTCAGCACAGCGGTGGTGGAGAGAGGAGGGAATGGAACACCACTAAAGCCCAAGGAGATGGATGGGATCCACAGTCCTAGTCCTCATGATAGAATGTCCTGTAGCTATTGCCCCAGTGTCATCTGGGCACAGGATCTGGGAAGCCCCTCCTGAGACCCCCCCACCTCCTGCCACTCTGCTCCTGGGAATATTCAGAATTGTTTGAGGAGGTAGAGAGGATCCAGGGTGACAGTAGGTCCAAGGAAAAGGAAGGTCAACACTGGAAGGACAGATGGATGTGCCCTGAGCCACCATCCAGGGCCCAGGCTGTGATGCCCTCAGACCTCACCCCAAATGACTCCCGATGTATGGACCAGACTTCTGCTCTTTCACTCCCTCCTTCCCTACCTCATTTATTCACTTTCTCATTCATTACCCCCTCTATCCTTCCCCTCCCCTCTTCCCCCACTCCATCACTCTCCCTGCCTCCCTCCCATCCTTCCTCCCTCCTTCCCCTCCCTTCCTCTCCTCCTCCCCTGTCTCCCTCTCCCATCCTCCTGCATTCCCTCCAATCCACCCTCCCTCACTCTCATCCTCCCTCACTCCCACCCTGCCATCCTCCTCTTCTCCTCTCCCTTTCTCCCTCCCTACCTCTCCCATCCCTCCCTCCCTCCTTCCCCTCCCTTCCTTCTTTCCTTTCTTCCCTCTTTTCCCTCCCTCCCTCCACTCTCTCCCCTCCTTCAGGCCCTCCTCAGCAGAAGATCTGGGGTCCCTGCTCTGTACTGAGCACAGGGGCTTCATCAGTGAGCACCCACAACCCACATGGTCATGTCCACCGTGGGAGGTGACAGAGGGGCTAGCAGTGGTGATGAGCACCAGGAATCTGCTCCCGAAAACAGAGACTGGTTACACAAATAAAAGAATGGAGAGACCCATGCTTAGCACTTCCTCCAGAAAAATCTAGTCCTGAAAAGTGATGAAAAGTAAATATATCCTAGACTTCATGCAATGTGAGTGCTAATGGCCCGTACGCCCTGATTCCTAGAAGCAACCAAGAGTAAATCATCCAGTGTCTACTGGGGGTTTCTGACACAACTTTTCTGACCAAATGACAGCATTTCAGCCAACATCTCCAGGGCCTCCAAGTTTTCTGAAGGGTAGCTATGATCCTCTGACTCTCCCATCAACCTCTTTGAGAAGCTCTATCCTGTCATCTTCCTTGTCTCCTGCCTTTTCTGCGACCCTTCTGTGGTCTCCCCTCCCCCAACCAGGGCCATCCTTGCCAGGATTCCCCATGCCCTTTGCTGGGTGCCCACAACCCACACTGGGTTCCATGAGCCCTATGTATTGTACAAGACCTCTGCGCTCCCTCTGGGGTCACCTGGCATCTCCCTTGATGTGGCCTGCATCTCCCTGCACTGGGTCTCCTCTGACAAGTCTGTGAGGCCAGCCTGTGCCCATGTCACGGGCATGGAAGTGTGAGTCCAGAAGGTCCAGATGACCTGCTCCCAGTCCTAGCATGTGGAGCCTGGGCCGAGAGTGGTCCCAGAGCAGAGGAGGATTTGGGCCCAGGAAGCCTGAGGGAGGACGTGGCACAGTGATCCTGCAGGATGAGAGAAATCACCGTGGGGGCCTGGTGCTCAGGCCTGCTGGGAGACCACATCCGACCCACAAAAGATCTTTCCCCAGGGCTGGACGTCGTCAGGGTATACACCCTCCCAGGCTCCAGGCTGGCAGTGACTGGCAGGGCAGAGACATGGCTGATTCAGGAGAGAGCCCTCAGGAAGAGAGTCACTCCCCCAGCAGCAGGTGCCCTGGGGTGGACTGAGGGGGGCATCAGCAGATAGCAGTGACTGCAGCTGGGGTCTCCACACAGGTCCTCCTGTCAGGTTCAGCACAAGCTTGTCTGGATGGCCTGTGTCCCCAACCACAAAGTCTGGCCCAGGACCTCCCCTCAAGCTCTGACTCCCGATCCTTTGTACTCAGCTCAAGTGCAAGTAATGGCCAATAGTTTAGGTGGTGTAGGGCACACAGAGACATGTGATTTTCTGGCCCACACTGTAACATTGCTGGCTTTTAAGGATCTCAGGTTTTGATTCAAAAACGGTAGAATGCCAGGGACCCTAGACAGCTTTCTGGAAACCTGCCTCTGTGCTTTGCAACACTCTCATCCCATCAGCACTGCTCAGAAGCCCTCCAGGCCACAGACCCTGAGGTCTTGGGTCCTCAGACAGCCCAGATGATGTGCCTTCAAACAGCAATCAGGTGGGGCAGCAGGACACACTGTGGATTCCAGCTAATCCCCCTCCCAGAAAGTGAGGGTGCCCCTGGACGAGCTGTCCAAAAATAGCCAGGTCAGGGTCCCAGGAAGACACCAGAGGCTCAGGAGTAACTGAAATCATCTGAAGTTCAGGTAGGGACAGTGGGAAACTCGGGTGGTTTTGCCTGAGGCAGCTCCCAACCCCCTAAACTCTCAGTGTGATGGCTCCACTGGAGGATGGAGGGACCAAGCCCGGAGGACCCACGGCTCCACTGTCAGAGATTGCCAACTCGATCTGTGCACAGGTGGGGAAACCCAGCCATATCCCAAAGAATTTCTGGAAACAGGAGCCATCTCCACGGCAGCTGACCTGGGAGGTCAACCTTCCAGCTGCCTGAGGTGGGATCGAGCCACAGACCAGCACACTAGCCAGAAATGGAAGAAGGAGAACCAGTTCTTCATTTCAATAGTTTTTGAGTTACCTGTTTGTTCCTATGGTTAGTATACTGTGCAAGGCCTTGAAAATGTTCTCCTCATGATCTCTGCTGGAGAGGTTCTTGAAAAATCTCTGGTTTATAGATAAAATCATCCAGAATTAATCTTGGTTCGCACAGCCATGCTGGGAAAAGTATGGCATTTCCCCCAAATACTAAAAATAGAACTCCTGTATGATCCCACTACTGGGTAGACATTTGCAGGAAATGAAGTCGGTTTCTCGAAGTAGGATCTGCACACTCTCACCCAATCTCCCCAAGGAGGGGCAGCCACCCTTAGCAACAGGGCGCCCATGTGGGAAGTCCTAGGCAACCCTTCCGTAGAGGCAGGAGCCTTCATGGACAAGCGGCTGCCACAGGGCTGAGCGGTCTCCACAGTAGCACATTCAATGTCCTGGATACTAGGAAGAGAGGGAGTACAGCACCAGGCCAGTGAGCATTAGGACACACTACCTCAAATTTGGCACCTTGGCAAATTAAATATAGAAACTGAAAGAATAAAAAAAAAAAAAAAAGAAACAAAGAATTTTGCATAGAGCAGAAGCAGGAAGGTCCCTCTGATTCCCATCCATCAGCCCTTCTTCCCTGAAGCAGGTCAGAATACTCCCGTGTGGCACTTTCTCTCCCTGGACCGCAGAAAGGACATGCTGATCACCAGAGTCAAGGAATTTAGGGCCACAAAGGCTGTAGGAAAAAAACTGGTTAAACTAACCTTTGTCTTCCTAGTTACTTTTTTACCATTTACCAGCCCTAGCTCAAATCCCTTTGTCTCTCAATTCTTCACACATTGGTTGCTTCTCTGCTTAAAACATAGAACTGCCTGCTCCAATAGCCTCTAATGGTCTCAATGTTCTTGAGAGGCTCCCACCAGAAAAATCAATACACTTTGCCAGCTTTTCTCCTGTTCCTCTGTCTTTGTCAATTTCCAGACCCAGCCAGGGACCTTAAGAGGAGTTGAAGAAAACTTTCCTCTCTTGCAGCCCTGGGTGGGGGGTGGTGGCAGGTGGAGTCAGGAAAACCCATCCCATTCTCCTGAACTTCGTTAAAGCTGCCCTCTGCTGGGAAGCAGCACAGGGCTGTGCACGGATGGGGGAGCCAGGGAGAGGCAGGTGGAACAGGTAGGAAGTTACCTGACCTGTAGCCGGGGGACTTGGTCCCACTGACAAGTCCAGGGTGTGATGATGAATATTATCATGGAAGCATCCTGAATATCAGACCTTCCCCACCCTAGGCTTCATTATTGCTGCTCATTATGGTTGCTGCTATTGGCTTAGTGACTTTTCTGAACTAACATTGTCCAGTATGTGTTCTGTGCTGTGTGGCCACTAAAACCCCGTGCTGTTAACTTAGTGGTCAGCCAGTGACTGGGCAGAGAGGTCACCCGTGTTTCCAAGCTATGGCTACGGATATTGGAGGGCCCCACAACCTCCTCCTCAAATTCCAATAGTCTGCTTGAGGGGCTCATGAAACTCAGAGAAACATGTTACTTACTAGATGACCAGTTCTTTAAAAGGACAGAACTCAGGACCAGGTAGCCAGAAGTGATGAGCAGGGCAAGGTGTATAGCAGAGGCTTGGAGCTCCCCTACTCTCAGAGTGAAAGAGGTCTTTACCCACCTCCACTCTGACTTTTGACTGTACTTCCTGACTACGTCCCTCCTTCCGGCTCATTTGTTAACTCAAGTCAAAGACCTGGTGGGCACCAAAACGACCCCTCAAGCAATAACCACTGTCTACTGGAGTCTGGGTGGCTCAGTGGGTTTAGCCTCTGCCTTCAGCTCAGGTCATGATCTCAGGGTCCTGGGATCGAGCCCCACGTTGGGCTCTCTGCACAGCGGGAAGCCAGCTTCCCCCTCTCTCTCTGCCTGCCTCTCTGCCTACTTGTGATTCATCTCTGTTGAATAAATAAATAAAAATCTTAAAAAAAGAATAACCACTCCCAACACCAGTGAGACCCTGCATGATGGACCCCAAGACAATGATTGACTGGAACTTTACTGACCCCCTGCACCTGCCCACCAACACTTGCCCTAGATTTTCCTCATATAAAAGCCCAGGAGTGTTTTCAACACCTTGAGACCATGCCAGTCCTCTGTCTTTTGGTGTCGGCTGCACTGAAATAGATTCCTTTCCTGTGTCACCACCACTTGTCTCTCTGCCTTTGGATCTGGGACACTGTGAATAGTGCAATGTAGCAAGTCAAATACCAGTTCTTCCCCTGTCCAGGGTCCACTGCTCTTGCTCCTTTCACTGCAGTTCTGCTGTTGGTTTAGTGACATTTCTGAATTGATTTTTTCAAATCTGTATCCCTTGTTGTATGCGGCCACAGAAGTGAAAGTAGTGATCAACTGTGAATGTAGTGGTCAACTGTCAATTGGGCGAGATTTCCTTAAACATCTGGAAGCTGCCCTCCTTCTGAAAAACAAAACAAAAGAAAACAAACAAAAAACAACTTCCAGTCTTTGCAGATGGGGAGGAGGGCTCTGAGTGTGTGAGTATTGGGATGCACCTTCAGCACCACCCAGGCCTCTTAGTACTCTGCCTTGGCCTTCACTTCTTACCTGCTGAGTCTGACAATCACCAGAGGGCAGAGCCTAGGGCCTTCTCAGGTTGGCCCTGAGCAGGCACCCAGCCCATGCATGCAGTGTCCCAGGGGCTCGGGAATAGGTCAGAGTTTCCAGGCCTTTCTTCCTTAAAGCTCCCCATCACTCACTGATTCTGCTAGGTTTCTATTTGCCCCAACTCTTATCCATTGTCCTAGGCAGCAGAGACTCATGTATGCCTTTAAATGGTTTGGACATCGAATATCTTCCTTTGCCACCTCACTACTGGCAGAGTTCGTGGAAAGCAACAAGTCACAGAGGAATCCAAGTGTCTGGACTTGGTATTTCCCCTCCTGAGATGGGGACATCTGTAAGAGGAGCAGGTGGCCAGCTGGTGGGGGTGGGGTACATGTACCTGATGTGGATAGGACAAATGGGATAGGTGAGGCAGAGACTCCTGGGGTATGTTCCTGCATCTGGGCTGAACTGGTCTTCAAAGCTGCAGATTGGTTGGGATCATCTTCAGGATGAGGAGGAAAATAAGGGGAGTAGAGGGACCTGAGGAGGCTCAGCTTAGACAAGAGAGGGGTGAGCCTTTCCTTTGGGGGAAAAGTGTGTCAGGTCCAGGCTCATGTGGACAGAACTTGAGCCCATTGCGCTACATGAAATAAGCCAGTCCCTAAATGACTGATACTGGAGGACCCCCACTAGTGAGGGACAGAGAGCACTCCAATTCATAGAGGTGGAAGGAGCTGCTGGGTGCTGAGGCTGGGGAGGAGGAATGGAGGATTCAGGTCTCATGGGTAGAGGTTCAGCTTGAGATGATGAAGTGGCAGTGATGGATGGAGGTGGCAGGTGCAGA